GTGGTGGTTTATGCCTGTAATCCCAGAAATTTGGGAGGCCAAGGTGGGAGGATTGCTTGAGCCCAGGAGTTCAAGACCAGCCCGGGCAATTAGCAAGACCGTGTCTCTATAAAAAATTAAAAATTAGCTGGGTGTGGTGGCGTGCGCCTGTAGTCCCAGCAAATTGGGAGGCTGAAGAGAGAGGATAGCTTGAGCCCAGGAAGCTGAGGCTGCAGTGAGCCACATCACTCCAGCCAAGGTGACAGATGGAGATGCTGCCTCAAAAAAATGGAGTTAGATTGTATTTGCATGAAGGGCATGTAGTTAGCCTACAGGTATGATGCTAGTGCTTATTTAATTTTCTGAAATCTTTTAAAAGAAGGTTGCTGGTGCCACATGGAGTAACTGTGTTCTTTTTACTGTGGAGTTTGTGCAGGAAGAGGTTTGGAGATCCAGGAGCCTAAAGTCAGATGACAGGTGCTTTGGCCTCTGCGGCATGTCTCTTTGGACTCTGTGAAAGTTATTTCATTGCTGTGGCTTTCTAGAATAATATGAAGATAACTGTAAGGTGCCACATGCACTGCTTGGACTCTTACAGTTCTGACAGTTATTCCTGACAAATTTCAAAACCAGAGTCTGTTTCTACTTGTAGGATATTTCAAAAATATCCCCTAAGAAATTAATGACAATGGAGAAGCTTCTTGTTTGCAAGAATTTATTGTAGAATGGAAATAAATACAGAGTGATGAGTGAACCAGAAGCTATAATTACCCTAGAAATACACTTTTTTTTTTTTTTTTTTTTTTTTTTTGAAGACAGAGTCTTGCTCCTATGGCCTAGGCTGGAGTGCAGTGGCAGATCTTGGGCTTACTGCAACCTCCGCCTCCTGGCGGGTCAAGTGATTCTTCTGCCTCAGCCTCCTGAGGTAGACGTGTGATTACAGGCTTGTGAAACCGAACATGCCTGGCTTATTTTTTGTATGTTTTAGTAAGAAATGGGGTTTTATTCACTGTTTGGCCAGGCTGGTCTCGAACTCCTGACCTCGAAGTGATCTGCCAGCTTCGGCCTCCCAAAAATGCTGGATTACAGGCGTAAGGTCACCACGCTCCCCAGAGACACATATTCTAAAAACCAACTTGAATTAGCAGCAGAGATGTAATACCCTTAGATATGGGTATTTTTCCTTCCTTCCTTCCTTCCTTCCTTCTTCCTTCACTTCCTTTCCTTTCCTTCCTTCCTCTCTTTCTCTCTCTCTTTTCTCTCTCATCTTTTCTCTTTTCTTTCTTCTTTCTTCTCCTTCTCTTCATCTTTCTCTTCTTTCTTATCCTTTCTTCTTTCTTTCTTCTTTCTTCTTCTCGTTTCTTTCCTTTCTTTCTTTTCTCTCTTCCCCATCTCTCTCTTCTTTTTCTTCTCTTCTCTCTTCTTTTTTTTTTTTTTTTTGACAGAAGTTCATGCTACAATGCCCGCCCAGGCCCTGGTATGTAGCAATGCCTATGATCTTGGCTCACTGCACCTCCGCCTCCTGGGTTCAAGTGATCTTTCTGTCTCAGCTCCCGAGTCACGCATTGGGACTACAAGTGTGCGCCACCATGGCCTTGCTAATTTTGTATTCTTTTGTAAGAGAACAGGGTCTTAGCTATATGGGCAGGCTGGTCTCCGAACTCCTGCTCAAGTGATCTGCCCCGCCTTGGCTTCCCAAAGTGCTGGGATTACAGGGAGAGTGAGCCACCATGTCGGGCCAGATATGGTATTTTTCATGTTTTCAAAATAGTGTATTGGTGTCTCCATTTTTTATAACCCTATTTCTGAGAAACCATTGTTTGCTAACCTTGTAGTTTATTCCCAAAGAAGCAGTTTTTGGGAGGATTTTGCAGAAGTGGCATCATGGGAGGGCATTTTCTGAACTCCATCGGCCCTGGTGACTTGTCAGAGACTCAATGACCCTTTCAAAGTTTTCTAGGACTAGAGAATGGAATGAGAGAGGAGTCAGGTTAAGGCAATCAAGTGGGCGATGGCAATGCCAGTGCAGTTAGTGCTTTGTTTTCTGTATTTCCACCAGACTTGCTGTCGAACCTGGAGAGGAGCTGAGGAGGTGGGAGGCAAGGGCCAGTGCATGTAGTGGGGTTCAAATTCCAGTTCCACACCTTCCTAGGGGAGGACTAGGGCAAATGGAGTAGCTCCTCTGAGGTTCTCTGTCCATAATATAGTGATAAGAGGGTTTTCTGGGGGAAGGTGGTATTCAGTGAGGGGAGACAGCTAAACTGTTAGCTTAGTTCTGTAAATGTTCTCCAATTCCAGGTTGGAGAATGATTCAAGCAAGCAAAAATTATGAGGAGGTTGGAAAGCTCCAATGAAACCATGGTCAGTAGGTGGTAAGCGTGTGTTGCAGTTTGATAACATGAAAGACTGAAACAGAGGGAGCTGAAAAATAAGTCTTTAGAAAAACAGAGTTTAGGCACTGGAAGCCTCAATGAGGTAGAAAACAGGGTGGGAAAGAGGGACGGAAGCAAGAAGAAAAGCACGGTGTGGGACTTGAAAAGTGAGGATTCCAAGGTGCAGTTCAGTTACCGGCCCAAGCAATCGACTGACCGCTTCTAAATTGTCATTTAGTATAGTATAGGGAGTTGTATTTATTAATGAATTACACTTTTTTTTTTTCGCAAGACAGAGCCGCTGTGCACCTAGGTTGAAGGGGCAAGGACCGTGATTAGCTTAGTACAGCGCCTCAACTTCCCAGACAATGCGCTGCTAACCTCCCAGCCCTCCGTGTAGCTGGCCCACAGGCATGTGGCCACCTTGCCTGGTCTAAACTTGTTTAAAAAATGTATGTTTATAGGACAGGGACTCTCACTAGTTGCGCCAGGCTGGTCCGAACTCCTGGGCTCCAGGAGGAATTTACTCATTTGTTGACCTTCTAAAGTCCCCGTCAGATATAGTATGAGCACGGTGCCCATCTAGAGTAGGAGAGAGTGAAGGAGAGAGCCCTGGGCGAAAGAAAACTGAAGTTGTTGAGGTAGTAAGTTGGAAAAATGAGAAGGTATATTTGAAATGTGTGTATCTGGGGGCAAGCAGTGGATTGTTAGTCGTCCACGGGTTGCATTTGATCGCAAAAATGGATGCTGCAGAAATCGGACGGATTAGGTAAAACAAAAATATTAAGTTGGTATCTTCAGTAAAAAACTCGAGGTTCGAGTGGTGGGTGGAGCTGAGGGTAGAGAAGGGCGAGAAAGCAAATATAATAATTGTCTCATCTCTATCACGTTTGGAGATTTGATGGAGTGAAACAGAGCCCAGCTGCTGGAGCAGAGGCACCTGCTTGAGTCCCACGGACACCCGCAGCCCAATCCCCGGAGGCCAGTGGGGCTCACGGTGAGTGTGGGGCTGCTTCAAACAGTGGGCGTGCTCAGCTGGGAGTGGGTGTGGTTTGGCTTCGCTTGGTTTGGTTCAAAGGGGCAGAAGTCTGCATCTCAGCTGTCTTAATGTGAATGTGGGGTCTTGTGACAGGGTCTCTTCTGTATCATGGGGGTGGATCTGCACCCTGCCTGATGGCCCGACTGCTTTGCCAGACCCTGCCTGCTTGGTCTTTACCGGCTTGCTCCCGCTGTGTATGATTACAGCGTTGGCATGGGACCGCCTTTCCCCTGTTTAATGTTGGTACTGGGAAGCCCTTTTGCAACCACTCCTTTAATATCCTCCTCTCTCCTGGGAGAAGCTGGAGAGAGCTACAGGTCGTGGGGACCTCCTCTGGGAGAAGGAGATGGAGAAAAACACCAGATCCCCTCCATCTTCTGCAGCTGTTTTGAGTTTGATTTCTTATTCTATTTCAAGGAAGTTTTTTAGAGTAACAGGCACATGTATAATAAACACATTTTCAAACCTAAAGAGGTGCAGTAGCAATGGGATGGAAGTGAGACCACTGAAATTCACTGGCTCCATGTGGGGGTTCAGGGCCGTAGTGTCATCATCTACAAATGTCACTGAGGTTTCTCCTGCCATTGATACAAGTTTGGAGTAGATATTATTTCTGCATCATTTACATTTTCAGTTCTGATACTTCACCTCTTTGTCAGCATCACACACAATTCAGTGTTGACTATGATATTCTGAAAAGCACACAGGCCGGGCATGGTGGCTCATGTAATCCCAATGCTTTTGGAGGTAGAAGTGGGTGGATCCTTGGTGCCAGGAGGTTGACACCAGCCTGGGTAACAAAGTGAGACCCCCATTTCTTTTTTTCTTTTCTTTTTTTTTTTTTTTTTT